TGGTATGGGGGAAAGCTCCTTGTAAATCAGTTCTAATAGCAAAATGTTTTTGTAATAGTTTCATTGAAGTACAGCAAAAACATCATAAAACCACCAAACGTATACAAGGTGCTGCAACACTTATTTTTAAAGTATGTTCAGAAGGACAGCCACCACCCTCCCCCGCCACACAAAAGAGAACATATTTCCTGGAGCAGTAACCCTCCACCTTTCCATCACCTCATCCAAAGACTGTCTGTCTATAGAACAGAAGTACCTATTCAAGACATTTCATACCAATACAATCATACCCTATTATGGTCTTCTGTGATAGGCATCTTTAATTTAGCATAATACTTTCAAGACTTTCCATGCTATAGGATGTCAGTATTGCACTTTTCTTTCTTGCTGAATAATTTTTCATATACATGTATATATATACATAGCTTGTTTATTTATTCATCAGTTGGTAGATATATGTGTGATACTACTTGGCTATTACAAATAATGATGTTGTGAACTTTCTGGGACTGATTTTTCTGTGTATCTATCCATCTATCTACACACACACACACACACACACACACACACACACACACACACTCCCCTACCCCCTCCTTTTTAAAAGATATATCTCTATAAGTAGAATTTTTTTGGGGGGGTCCGGTCATGGGGCCTGAACTCTGGGTCTGGGCACTGTCCCTCAGCTCTTCAGCTCAAGGCTAGTGCTCTACCACTTGAGCCATAGCACCACTTTCAGCTTTTTTTTCTTTTTGCTTATGTGGTGCTAGGGAACCGAACCCAGGGCCTCAGGCATGCAAGGCAAGCGCTCTACCACTGAGGCACCTTCCCAGCCCCTATAAGTAGAATTTTTAGATCATATGGTAACTCACATTTTTCCTTTGAGGAACTGCTAGACAGCAGCTGTACCATTTTACATTTCTTCCAACAGTGTATTAGGTGAAAAAAACCTTGTAAAGAGTAAAGGATGACACTACCTATAGTTAGTAAAGTGTCCCTAATGGCACAGTACATCTTGTTAGTAACTGAAGAGTTTCACAAGCTTAAACTCCTTTACTTTCCACAAAGTCTACCAAACACCTATTTAAAAAAATTAATTGGCTCTAGAATTACTTATTAGATTCTTTATAATGTTTTTTAATGCTGTTAATTTCTTGATGAAGACTGGATTTTAGTATTAAGAATGTTAAATGAAGGGTACTTTCTGTCACTTTATTTTTTTATTTTTTATTAAGTTAAAGATATCATAGTATCATAATAGTAGGTGCTATTAAAAATAATTTAATGTCTGGAGGAATGCAGATAACCTAATAATGCCAGAGAATGTTCAGAAATTGTTTCTAATTTAAGAGCCAGATTAATTCTCTCAAACATATCACATCGAAGCCCAGTAATTTATATAAACTATATACAAGACACTGCCGTTTCTAGCCAATTAAATCTATTAGATAGTAGTTTGGATATTTTTCTCTTCTGTTTTCCTATTGTAATTTCAGTACATTTCTCTCATTCTTGTAGTTCAGACCAGGCTTGATTATAGCAAATGAACAGACCAACATTCAAACATTTTGCATGGGCTGGAAAGTTGGCTCAATGGTAGAGTGCTTGCCTTGCATGCATGAGGTCCTGGGTTTGATTCCTCAGCACCACATAAGCAGAAAAAGCTGGAAATGGAGCTATGGCTCAAGTGGTAGAGCACTTGCCTTGAGCTGAAGAGCTGAGGGATAGTGCCCAGGCCCAGAGTTCAAACCCCATGAACCAACAAAAAAAATTTTTTTGCAGACATAATTTGTTCAGTTAGTATCTTCAAGAGAGATCTATTCTATCTTTGTCTCCAAGTGAATCTATATATTGTAGGAGAATGGTCTAAATGAACTTGAAAAGTAAGTGCAGTGGACTAAGAACCATAAGCCAATTCCTATTCATCTACAGAGACCCAGGACTATGACAAACATTTCAGTCTTCAAGACATCAAGAAACACGTCACATGCGGTACAGTGTGTTTATTTTGCCATAAAATTGAGAAGCCAAAAGCTGTCCTGTTGTTCTTGTACTTTCTCCAAAATAGGAACAAGTGCATGTGACTTTATTTCACTCTACTATATGGAAAGTATCTCAATGTAGGCAGAATAATATGTTATGTTCTTTTTAGTTTCTGGGTTTGTTTTGTTTGTCGGGAAAAGCATCTGATCTTTTATGAGACAGAATGGAGAGAAGAAGTATTTCCTAAAGAAAAAGCTATTTCCTTTAAAAGTATACCTAATGTATTATTTAAAAAAACTAAAGAAGGAAAAATTTATATCTTTCTCTGTTCATGGAAAAACCTTCATTCTTTGATTCATTCTGTTGAAATAGTACATTTTCAAGTAATAAAGTTCAAATAGAGTCACGGTGGTGGTCATCTGAATTTTCTGTACAGCTTTTTTATATACTCTTGATTTTTTGACTCTTCAAGCAGTGATCCTTAATGTCATTTTCACTCTGAGACTTTTCCATTCACGTTACCTCATAGTTTTAAGATCTATTAAGTTGATTAATTGGTAAACTTTTTGGTCTAGTATAAAGGAAAGAGCCACTGTCGGACCTTCTGTCTACTAAACCTGAGCTGTTCTCACCCACCAATCCCTTGTCCTCTAGAGGATATCATTCAGACGATAGAAGTTGAAAAGTGAGAACTATCACACAATCCTTTTTTTTTACCCCCTCTGCAACACTTTTATGTGTCTTCCTTAAGAATCCTATAGAGACTCACCCCAAACTATTTACTTTAGCAGGGCTTACATTGCTTGAATGCTTATTGTATCAGACATACAAGTTATATCATTTAGCCTAAAAACTACAACAATGCTGCAGATGAAGAATGAGAATCATAGAAGATAAGTAATTTTATCAATCATGAATACACAGTCAAGGACACGTATGTCCAAGATAATAAATATCTCATATCTCATGCCAACTTGCTCAGATGCCTTGGGATAACTACCTCCTGGGCTTATGTCCTTCTATCCCTTAATCATATTTTTTAAAAGAAAAACACAAAGCAGCCAGCAATAACAAAAAGCCATTAGTATACTACTAATCATGTTCTTCAAACAAGAGAAGGCTACATGGTAGTGGAAAACTGTAGCATTGGGACCATGAAAACTGATTATAGAAACTTTCTGAAACTGTCATCACACCTCTTCCAATAAACCTTTGTCTTCAACTCCAACATTCAAGATAAAAAAACATATTCTAATCATATGTGATTTTGATTATTACTAGCATTGCAACAGTGTTTTCCCAATATTTGAGATCAGGGAGCCAAAGCAACAAGTTATAACCTTGTTTTTATGCACAGAAAGTTCTGAAAAGCCAACTCACAAATACTGGTGGGATACAATGTTGTTAAGTTGGAGATTGATGATAATTTGTAAAATGAATGCTCAGTACAAAACCTTATCTTCCTATAGGGTCTTGGCAGAGACAAAGGGACCAGGAGCATTCATACCCACTCTGTCCCTTTTCCTCCCAAAACATGAGTGAAGTTTTAGGAAAAGAATCTACTGTTCCTCATGCACTTCCAAAGTAAGCTGAAGAGAAGTAAAAACAAGGAACTACTGACAGGGCTGTAGACTCCAATTTGAGTACTAATATCACTGGTAGTTCCTTTTAAAACTTAAGCTGATTCCTAACTAAACTCTATATAAAGTTAGTTGCTGGGCTGGGAAGATGGCTCAGTGGTAGAGTGCTTGCATTGCATGCATGAGGCCCTGGGTTAGATTCCTTCCTCAAGCAGCACATAAGCAGAAAAAGCCAGAAGTGGTGCTGTGGCTCAAGTGGTAGAGCCTTAACCTTGACCTGAAGAGTAAGGGACAGCATTCAGTTCCCACAACCAAAAACAAATAAGTAAGTCAGTTATCCACTGATGTACTGAAATTTAAAGATAATGTGCATATTTTCTGTATATTACATTTTATTTTAATATTTGTTTAGATGACACTGAGATTGGAACTTAAGGCCTTGTACCACTCACACAGCCCTCCATATTACAGTTTTTGAAATTAAAGCAAAAATCTATTCCCATCTAGAATTTGAAGGTAACTAAAAATTCTAGCCACATGTCAGTGGCTTACTCCCCGTAATTCTACTATCTACTCAGGAGGTTGAGATCTGAGGATCATGGTTTGAAGACAAGCTGGACAGGAAACATTTGACACTCTTATCTTCACTTAACAAGCAAAAGATTGAACTGGAGCTGTGGCTTAAGTGGTAAAACACTAGCCTTGAGAATAAAGCTCAAGCATAGTCCCAAGGCCCTGCATTCAAGCCCCAGTACTGGAACAAAAAAAAAAAAAAAAGGAAAAAAGAAAATCTATGAAAAGCTATTTTCAAAAATCTCACTTTTTAGACAATTTCATTGATGATTATATAGATTAAGTTTATTTGTTTAATAGAATTATTGTTTTCTTAAAACCATAAAACAAAAATATTTTTTAAAGTCTTCAAAAAAGTACCTTTTAGAAACTGCCTAAAAATGTTTTAGTGCGCTAATTTTTGACAAGTAATTTTATAGAATTAATTCATTAGTTCTACTGAAATTTTCCCAATTTTCCCTTTCTAAAGTTACTCTAGTATTGTTATGTCATTTTAAACATGTATACGTAAAAGTTAAATGTGACTACAACCATATTTTTTAAATGACTTCATTCTAAAGATTGTGTCCAGAAAAAATACCTAAATTATCAGAAAAGTAAGTACTGAAAAAAGGTGAATGTGGTAACATTTATAAATAACTAGTGAACAATATTTCAGAAGCACTGTCTGGCAGAATGAAGGGAGAAAAGAGAGAGAAAAAGAGAGAGAATGGGGAAACTAATATTAACAAGTTCAACTTTACATTACAATGTTCATAAATGAAAAAGTAACAATCTTACCACAATTATTGTATTCACAAGCATTTCTTCAGGTAGATAAGCCTGGGAGACTGACTCTTGACAGAGTCAAGACTTTATAACTTATAAAAACCAAAATCATACACCTTTATTTTAAAAATTAATCTTAGGGTATATTTTTCTAATAGTAATACAAAATCTTTTGAGGCATTGAATCAAAGTGTTCAGTAAAACCCACAGTTTCACCTGCTTCCTGGTCTACTTCCTCATCCATACAGGGCTTTGTGCGCTAATTACAAAGAGATTTGCATGGTTAAGAAGTTTTGACAGGTATATCTCTTAAAATTACTTATCCATGATTTTAAATTTCTCTAGTCATCCTCATAGTTTCCATCCTCACACAGATAGGCACTCTTGAGTATGTATCTACAATCCTCACCCAAAGCTAATTTCTTGTTGAATAAATTGTTTAAACCAGGCATCACTCACAATAAGCTCCTGTTTTATGACAAAAAAGAGGTAATAAAAATCTTAGAATTAGCTTAATAAAGGTGAACCCAATCAAAAAATACCTTCTTTCTAAAAGATTTCAAAATGATACAGTAAATCAAACTTCAAAGTTTTTTTTTTTAGGAAAAATGATCTTTAAATCTATATGCTAAAGTTTGAATATTTCCACTACAGGCTGAAACAGTTTTGGCCTCACACTTAAAGAATTTAGCCATAAAATTAGGTTATAACCTACCTTTGTTGCCAATTTCACATACATTTTAAGTGGGTTATTTTTACTTTTCCAGAATACGAATACTAACTTTAAAAGTTTATAAGAGTTTTCTGTGTCTATAATAATCCAATCCTTAAAATACACTTTTCAATTTAAAAAAGACTTCACAATCCTTTTAGAATGATTTACATTTTAAAAACTGATCATTTAGTAATTGGCTTCCTGGATAATTAGCCCCAATTTCTATGTATGTGATGGAGTGATTCAATTTTAAGGGTACTGTTGGAAAGAGAAATATTTCACAGCCTATCTACACTCTACAAATGTAGTTTGAAACAGATTTTCCATCATTAAAAAAATCATTACTGCTTTTCATTCCTAAATTTATTACCCTGCTTGGCTATACTGCACTCTTCTGGACACATAATTTCATAGCAGGTATCAAAATAACCAGAACACACAGCTATATCCGACCATAATTTCCTATTAACAGGAACTTTTGGGTGTGCGATTGGCTCATTTTACACAAAACCCGTACACCACAAATAATGACGGCTGAATTCTCAAATGCAAGCTGCCACAGGATTTTTCTGCCTTGGTATTGTATTTCCTCGCACGACCTAACACCCCTGGAAACAACTTATAGTGATCACCTTCCTAGAAGGTTCCAGCTGTCCCTTTTGACCCAGGGCAAGGAGCAGAAGTGAAATCAGGTTTCCAGAGAAGAGTGACAGGAACACAAGGCAACCACCACACAGCTTCCCCTAATGGGAAGTCAACTTTTTCCGCTCTCTGGGAGTCCTGTCGTTGGAGCCACAGGAGAAGGACACGCATTCTTTTGGAAAATAATGTCTTCCCCTTCGTCCCCCGCCCTCCCACCCCCACCCCAAAGGCCAAGTCGGGGAAGGGTACCAATCAGGTCTCCAAGCCGTTCTCGGCGAGCAGCAGGGGCCATGGCATTCGGTGCGATGTCATGGGAGGTGGGGCCAGTCTCCATGGTATTCTTTGAGCTAGCATCTACGGTAGGGCGGTCTGGAACAACAATCTCCATTGGATCAAGTCTGTACTTCGCTGGAAGTAGTCGGCTCCAAGACTTAATTTCCACAGTGTTGAATTTATCGCTGGAAGCTCGGTCAACATTAAAAAAAAAAAAAACGCACCACCACCACCACCACCACCACCAACTATCTTCTTTGAATGGAAATTTTCAGCAACTACGATGAGGTAAATACATTTCGAAAGTGGGGGGGGTGGAGGGGCAGGGAGGTGACACAACTTTGTATTCTCTTTTATTTCTGAAGGGGGGAGGGGTGCAGAAGTAGAGTCCCTAAACCCTCATAAAAAACCATCAAGTCTTTGAGGATGTACCGGGGTGTTACACCAGAGCGCTCCAAAGACCTCGGGGTCACCGATGCTCCAAACCCCGGGACTTTGGGTTTGGGCACCAGGGGAATCCTGATGTTCAGGGGGGAAAAGAAACAATTTTAAACAATCGATCAATAAAAGTCCCCGGAGAAAGCGTGCGCTGTAGAAGGGCCCGGCGCCCTGCGCTCCCCGCCCTCGCCGGACCCCTCCGAGGAGGCTCCGATCGCAGGCACCAGTCCAAGCAAGACGGCAGGAGGCCCCCGCGTCAAGCCCCCTCGGGGGATCCACCTTCCCCCGGGAACCCCCCGACTGGAGGTGGGCCTGGGGTGAACTCCCCGACCCTCGTCCACCTCCCCTCTGCCCCAGGTCCCCACGAGGGTGTGACAGCCCTACTCACCGCGGCTCCCGCCCTCCGCGCCGCGCGCTCGGGGACCCGCGACCTCCCCGCCCCCGGCGGCCAGGCTCCCCGCGAGGCTGCGCTTCCCGTAAACTCCCCGCCCCGCGCGGCCCCCTTCTCCGCCTCGGCTCCACCCCCGCGGGACCCTGGGCGGCGTAAGATTGGCCCGGCCGCGCTGTCACTCTCCGGACGCGTCACCGCCCCCGTTTCCGACCGCCCTGAGACCGGCAGCGCTCTTAGAGCTCGCGGGGCCGCGGAGGAGGGCACCGTGCCGCCCGGCTCGCCGCTTCCTACTCGCCCGCGGGTCGGCGCGCTCGCCCACCTGAGCCGCGGCCGGGGGCGGGGGGCTGCGGGGCCCGCGCGCTCAGCCGCCACCTGAGCGGGAGAGAGGCAGCGAGAGGGGGGGTGGTCTCGGCACGGAGATGGGGAGCGGGCGAAGTTGACACCCCTCCACACCCGCCCACCCGCGCTGCCGCTGTCTCTGCGCCGAGGTGCGCTGCCCTTCCCGGAGGTGTCCGCGCGCGGTCCTGCCCCAAGCGTGCGCGGGACAGCCCGCCCCTCCCCGCGACTCGAAAACTTCGCCCCAAGTCCAAACGTGGGCTCGGAGGGCGGTGCCGGGAGCTGGACTCCCGTACTCTCAGTGCCGGGGGGCGGGGAGGGGGGGAGGACGGGGCGGCCGGGGGGCGGGCTGCCCCGGGGGCTCGCCGGGCCAGCGGAGGGCGGAGACCCGCTGGAAACTTTATCACCCTCCTCGCAATTACGCCGCGTTACGGTTGTGTTTTTCTCCCCCGCAGGGGCCGCAGCCAGCTGTGTGTCGCGCGTGCTTCCTGGCCAAAAGAGCCACCTCGGGGAGAAGGTCCGGAGGGGAGCTGTTTACCCCGGGGAGACCCGCAGCCCAGCCGAGCGGCTTGGGCGGCCTGGATGCGCAGGACCCGGCCCCGCAGCCGCTGACTCCCGGCGGCGGCGGCGAAGTTTGGCTGCTGAGCGGC